CGCCACGCCCCAGTCGTCCGGACACCTTCAATCCAACCCGCCCTGTTGTCGCAGCCCCTGCATCTTGGCAAACCCCACGTCACAATGGGCACTTTGAGTGAGTCGATTGCGGCATTTAGAGAGCTTTCCGCGGGGGAGATTAGAGGTTAAGATCTGTTCTGACTTAGGCTTCCTGAACAAGCAAGAAAGTGAGTCTGGGTCCCTGCAAAACCCCTTTTAGTTACACGACTGTGAATTCCTTTCATTCACATTCATCAAGGCTTAGTAAAAAAGTCTTTTCAAAGGAATGTTTATCCACACGAACCTTATCTCGCTTGGAGAGCCTGCCAGATAACCAGTTTCCAACCGCAGGGCAAGGCAACGCTTGGCCCAGAGCCTCTTACAGTCACAAACAGAACTTTCCACTCTTGAAACGACCGAAGGAACAAATTGTTTCCTGCAAAAGCCCCCTCCCCCTCCGCTCCTCCTTTGTTTCCTCTGGGAGGGGCCAATCGCCTCCAAGGTGTGGCCTTACTCCCAAGTCGACCCTGATCTCTTAGTTATCTTCTGGCAGCTCTGTGCATGCGCACACTGGGAACAGGCTCCAACTGTTCCTCTGCCTCGCTGCTGTCTATCTCCCTCTCTGCCTCCCTTGTCTGAGCTTTCCTCAAACCCCCCAGGACTGGCCCATCTTCCTCCCCAACCTCCGACTCTGCTGCCAGCTCTGCGGGCCTCAACAAGACCTGCAAAAAATGAATGAAAGGAGGACTGTGGAGTCCTTGGTGCGCTCTGAGCTGGCTTGCTTTCTTGCAGACATTTCATGACCCAGCTTGGTAACATCATCACTGCCAGTAAGGAATGGGGTTTGCTGTCCATTTATATTGTAGTGGCTTTTTATCTCTGTGTATGTGGGGTTTTTCCTCGGTTGAGTTGTTTGCTGTTAGAAACTTGCATTAAAATTAGAATAAAAGTTAGTAAAATGTGGCAGAACTCCCTTAAGGAATGTCTCTTTTAAGGACCGAAATTTGGGCCTCCATTGTCATCGTAAGTGAGGCTACCTGTATTTCATCCCAGAAAGACCTTTCATGAGGTGGTTTTCAAACCCTTTTCTGGAACGGCAGAGACAAATTATCCTGAGCCGTGACAGCCGTTCCTCCGGTTCATATATTAGAATAATTAGCGTCATCGGCCTCTGAGGAACGCTTAACGTTCCATTTGGGAGGGTAGAATTGCAGTCATAAAGCAGACGCTGAATAATGGTGGCCTGGATCCAGCTGAAGAGGGAACTGTGATCTTAAAGGACCATGGCTCTGCCTTCTTGAGGAAGCAGAAATCCCTCCTAGGGATCTTAATTAACGTTGGCAAGGAAATTCATCCCTTTTGACTTTTGAGATTACCTCAGCAAATATCCTCCGTCTCTCTCCCTCTCCCCCCCCCCCACACCCTCTCTCTCTCCTAGTGTCTACCCCTAAACCCATCCTCCCCGGGGCAGAGAACACAATGTTAGCAACGAAGACGGTGAAGCATCGAGCCCCCATTCCTTCCGTCACTCTCCCAGCCCCCCAGGCTGCTGCAGAAGCTGCCTTGAGGAGACAGGTGGCGAACCAGAATCCAGGTATTCTACTCTACCTTCTTTTTCTATTCTGTTCTCTTCCATTGCATTCATTCTAATGCTGAATTCTATTATTCTGTTCTGTTCACTCTAATTTTAAATTCTATTCATTCCATTCTATTCCCTATTCTACTCTACTCTACTCTTTATTCTATTCTATTCATTCCATTCTATTCCCTACTCTACTCTACTCTACTCCTTATTCTATTCTATTC